GGGGCGGTGCCCCGCTGGTGGGAGATGCCTGGTTGGGGAAAACCTCGCTGGCCGGCGTCTCGCGGCGCCGTATCTCGCCATCCAGCCGAAGAAACCCACCGCCACCTCCCGTTAAAAAAATCATCTACTACACTTACTGGCCCAATGACCTTAGCAGTGGACGGGACCGGAGGAATTAACCATCAATCGGTGTGTCAATTAAATTACGATTCCAATTATCGCAAGTCAATAATACGCTGCCCTTATTGTTTATTATATTCACAACATAGTAAATTCGCCCACCAATCCCCACCCACCCCAGCCACCTTCCGAGATGTCGCTGTTGTTCTTCTTCTGATCGGGAGATCCCTGCCTGGAGGAGAATTCTAGCGGTCGGCTGCTCTGATCGGTAGTTTTCCATGGTTTCTCCGATAAACACCAGGTGAAGGCCAAAGCAGTACCCTACGGGCCACATTCCTCGCGCGATCTTCTCTTTCTCGTCCTTGTCCTATCCTCTCCCTTTACACACACATACATACACACACTAACACGCACTTCACAAGCACACATGCTGCGAGATCGGTCGGTTTTGTCTAGAAAGTATGTTTCGAAACCAACTTTCGAGTGCTTATTGCGGCTTATTCATTCGGAATATCGCAGTAGTTGATTAGACAAATTATACTTAAAATTGTCTGAAGAGCTTGCTTTCGACGTTTCCTCGCCGGACACCCTACACACAGGTTTACTGACCATATCAGTAGACGCACCTGAAAACAGATCCTGAAACAATCAATCCAACGACAGCCGATACAAGTGGACGCGGTCCAAGAAATGACTCCACCACCCAGAGCCAGTGTTACCAGATGTGTTTAGAGAGATTCCGCCATGTTCGTTTCAGTTTGCGCCGAAAACCTGAATTGGTTTTAAATTTCCCGCCTAAATCCGCTAAACGTAAAATAAATTATTTTTCCATATTTAAATGTTGTATTAATTTATTCTATTAAAACAAAAATATGATTACAAAATATAGTGGCTTTATTGAACCTGTAATTCAATTTTTCAAGTATAGAATGCATTACTTGGGTGAAAATTTGTAAAATAAAAACAATTGATTTCAGGTAGTATATAATTTATTGTATAAGTATTATCTTATTTATTCTTGCTAGTAACATGGAGTTAGAAATTTTCAAAATATACATCTGTGCAAGACGACTTATTAATAGAGGTTAACGAAAACATGCTTTACTAATTTTACTGCTTTACTAACTTAATTCATTCCCGCCGTTTATTCCGCTGTCCGCGAAACTCTTTTTTTTCCGCCGTACGAGTTCAAAATCCATTGAAAACGGCGGGAATTCCGCCGATATGGCAACACTGCCTAGAGCTCTAGTAAACAGTTGTTGTCTTGAAGTTGCCAACCAGAGTCATTAGTGCCAGGACTAAGCGTCTGAATGGTGCTCTGTGGGAGAAGGACCGTCGCCCCGGCCACCTGTTTGCCGCAGTGGCAGGCAGGGGACGGGGTCTTTCTTTGCGACGTGGGCCTGGCTGCCTGCGAGCGGCGCGGGCGCAGAGGCAGACGTCGAGAGGCGTGGTGGAGTCATTTCTTGGCCGCGTCCGCTTGCATCGGCCGTCGTTGGATTGCTTGTTTCAGGATATGTTTCTCCTCCAGGCAGGGACTTTCCGATCAGAAGAAGGACAACAGCGACATCTCGGAAGGTAGCGGGGGTGGGTGGGAATTGGTGGGGCGAATTTACTATGTCGTGTATATAATAAACAATAAGGACAGCGTATTAATGACTTGCGATAATTGGAATCGTAATTTAATTGACACACCGATTGATGGTTAATTCCTCCGGCCGCGTGAACTGCTAAGGTCATTGGGTCAGTAAGAGTAGTATTGTATGTTTTCAATCGGGTCTACTAATATGGTCAGTCAACCTGTGTGTCTGGGGAGGAGACGTCAAAAGTTAAAAAATAAGCTCTTTAGAAAATTTTAAGTATATTTTGTCAAATAAACTACAGGGATATTCCGAATGAATGAGTCACAATAACCAAAAGTTGAAAAATGCTTTCTAGGCAAAAATGTGCATTGCAAAAGCATAGAAACACTCCGGAATCATGTCAATAGTTTATTAATTAGAAAATAAAATAATATCTTTGTTCAGAAAGAAAAATTAACACAGAAATAAAAAAGCATCCAATTTACGCAATTCGACTGCTATTTTTTATTTCTGATTTCTTCCTATGTGTTTCTGTGCTTTTATTACGCACATTTTGCCTAGAAATCATTTTTTCAAACCAGCTTTTGAGTGGTTATTGTGGCTGATCCGTTCTGAATATTCCAATAGTTTAATGGATAAAATATGCTAAATGTGTCTTAAGAGCTTATTTGTTTCCTCCCCGGCCACTGTATTTAATGCGTGTTTTTATTGCGAGAGGTAATGGTTTTCTTCCCGCGCTGGATGATGAAATCCGGTGACGACCTATAGGTGGGCTTGCGGAGTTTTCCCCAACTAAGTATCTCCCACCATCGGAACCCCGCCCCAGCCGATGCTCTAAGCTCCCGACCGATCTCCCAGCATGTGTGCTTGTGAAGTTCGTGTTAGTGTGTGTGTAAAGGGAGAAGATAGGACAAGGAAGAGGAAGGAAAGATCGCGCGCGATCCGTAGCCTGTTTGTTAGGGTACTGCTCCCGCATTCGCGTAGGGTTGGTCGGAGAAACCACGGAAAACTACCGACCAGAGCAGCCGGCCGCTCCAGACAGCGCCGACATCCGATCGGGAAAAAAACCACAGCAGCGACATCTCGGGCAAGATGGCGGAGGCGGGTTTGGGATTGGTGGGGCGAATTTGAGGGCCGCATAGGGCTGCAGCAAAGGCCTGGCGTGGTGGGGAGCGCTGCAAGGCCAAATATAAAGGGATAGAGCGAAGCGGGTCTTGTCGATGCGTGTGAGGGATGCGAGGAAAGGGGTTGCAGGACTGATAAAAAATAGCTATAACTATCTGGGCGTAACGGGGCAGAGCGAAACGTGACGGGGATGAGCGTGGCGGAGGTAGCGTGACGGTACGAGGCGAAGCGGGGCGTAGCAGGTTTTGCCGACCGTGGCTAGGCGCGGTGAGGAGAACGGTGGCGGGGACAAGGGCATGAAGGGGCGTAACGCTGCCCTGGCGTGGCGGGGCAGAGTGAAGTTAAACATGGCTATGTGTTCTTGGGTGGAGCGTTGCAGAGCGCGTGCACGAAGGCGCAAGGAAGTGTGACGGGGAGCGGCGCGGGCGGAGTGGGAATGGTATGGCATTGGTTGGGATGAGAAGGCACGAGAGGTGGGATGGGATGGATTGAGATGGGGTGGGATTTTTTGGGATGTAGTGGTATGAGATGGGATGGATGGGATTAGTTAGGATAGGATGGGTGGCATGGGATGAGATGGAATTGGTTGGAATGGGATGGGATGGGATTGGATGGGTTTGGTTGGAAGGGATGGGATGCGATTGGTTGGTATGGGATTTGTTGGGATGGGGTGGTATGAGATGGGATGGGACGGATGGATGTATTATGGTTTGTATTGGTTTTGGGTAGTGTGTGATCTAATTGAAGAGGGAATGCGATTAGGTTGGAATGGGTGGAAGGGATTGGAATGGTTTGCCTGGAAGGGATGGATGACCGATGATGTGGATTTGTTGGATAGAATTGGATGAGTTTGCGTTGAGGGTGAGATTGGATTGATTGTTGGTGAGATGGGGATATGCGATGGTCGGGATGGATGGCGCGGACCTAGCCGCAGTGGCTGAGCCGGCGGGGGCGCTGCGCGAGGGCGTTAGAGCCGGAGCACAAGGACGCGGCAGGGGAGCTGCCGCGGGGGGCGGGGCAGTGGGCGGGGCTTGGCTCAGAGCGGGGGAGGGGTGCGAACCGCCCGGGACGCGCAGGGCGCAGGACCTCTTTGTGCCGTCGCGGCGCCGCGCCACAAATCACTCGCCCCTCCTCTACTCGGGGCATCGGAGTAGTGAATGGGCCGCGACGCCACTCAATGGCCTGCCCCCCGCCCCGGCGCACCACACCTCGCCACGCCTCGGCCTCCCTCCTTTCCATGATTCACCCCTTCCTTCCACACACCTACACTTCCATGCCCTACACTACCGCACATGCCGGGAGACCAGTCGGGAGGTTATGTAGAGCTTGTAAAGGGACATACATGGTTGGGCAAAATTCCCGCAAGCCGACATGTAGGTCGGCGCCAGATCTCACCATCCAGCGGGGGAAGGCAGCCGCTTAAAAAAACATTCACCACAATGACGGGAGTAATGACTTAGCAGTTGACACGCTCGGAATCATGAATCAATTAGTCAATCTCGAAGCCAGGTCTACCAACAAACATGTTGCCTCCTTACTCTAGAAAATGTTGATGGAGAGTACCATTGTGCTTTCGAAGAAACATGTCGAAGAATATTGAACTATTTCTTCCAAACGAACGTTGCCACCTTTGTTATCCTATAGACCATATTGTAGATATATGTGCCCTTGCTACACCTCAAAAACTAATAGTATAATATAACAAGAGCGCGAAACAGGTGTTTCACGAACGAGTCGAGTTTGTCGTCCGAGTTTGACAATGCGACGAGTGCGGGAATCACGGCGCCCGTGTTGCATAAACTATTTTTAAATAGGCCGTGAGCGAAACGTATTGCGTCATGTAGAGGAATATAAATTAAATAAACAATTACCAAAAATACCTTTTCAAAAATAAATGCATTCCAGTGAATGTAGTAACTCTATTGTTTGTAAATAATAAATAAAGACGTCGTCAAGACGAAAGACAATATGCGAATCGTTACAGATGTTTAGCTCACGCTTCGCGATGTTTCGCACATTGTACAAAAATTAGCTGTTTTGCACACGGAAAAGAATAATGAGAAACCGGGTTTGGTGAACGGAACGATAAAATAATAATTTTTCACTGACAGAAAATGTGTGTAATATATTATTTGATACATATAGCTTTGTTTCTTACATTCATACAATTTTGCTTAAATTATTTAGTAATTTTAATCTGTGATTCCCCGTTGTCCCATCTTGCCATCTGCGTTCTCTGGGGGCCAAAGTAGCTGTGGAATTTGACTGCCAAAAGAGGTCACGGATTCTCGTAAGCACATAAGAAATTGCCTGAGAAAGATGTGGGTCTTTCAAATTCAAAACTGAGCGTTTGAATGTTACGTAAATAATAATAATAACTGTATTTAGATGAATTATATTAAATGTTAATCAGAATCAATTTCATACCTACGATTCAGATACAAAATGTATCTACAATGGTTGTTTTAATGTGAAATTGCTTGTTTACCTAAGAAATAGATCACCAAATAGTGTTCCTTCAGATAAAAAAATCTATGACACTCTACTTTCTCGTAAAAGACAAAAACCATTAGGTCTGCCAAATTATGATAATGGAATAAAACATACCCTTTTCAAATCAATGTCATTTAGTAAGACGTATTTGTCATAAACTTATTTTCCCTAGTACAGTCAGTTTTGTTTCAATATATTTTGAAGGCTTTCAATAAACTTTTTTGATAATTTGAAATCAATAACGCCAATTTCCATAGAGCCCACGTGTTCATTATGTTTTCAGTTTGAATAAATGTTTCTAGAAACATTTGGAAACTTTGCTTTCCTTGCCCGTCGTAAATTAGTGACGTTCTACCCCTCCATTATCATCCCCCATTTCAAAGAGTTTAGATACCAATGGGAGTAGTCGTGGTGGCCGAGCTTTGCAGTACTCCTCGCTTAGCGTAGTTTTAGCGAAGTCGTCGGAGTAGTTATCGTGTTATGATTTTGCACTAACGGCGTATCACAAACAGCGGCACACCAGTGTTACCAACCCGGTGCCACTAACCTGACGCGACTTCTAGCTCATCAGATTTCATCATACTCTTCCATGTGTGAAAGGCGTTGTTGCAACGGGAGAGCTGGTTTATGGAGCGGCGGCCAGTATTTCCCACCTGAGGTGAGTTAAGTAGCATACACAGGTCCTCTTCAATATTAGCTCACTCAATAAACTTCCATGTGTTTGTTTTTCATTTTTCTGTAGGACTACAAAATAAATAAATAATTGATTGAATATTAGAAACTCTCACTATTTCCTGTGTTAATATTCAAACGTCCCACAATTTTGAAATACCAACATTTGCGTAATGTGAGAAATATGCTCCGATAAGCGTCTTTCAGTAACGCCGCTTCAAGCTTCTGTCACTTTTCGTGATCGCTAATTCCGTCACAAATTAATCATTTAAAGGGGCCTAACCCTCGGTTACCAGCCAACCGTTCCAGATTTGCATTCTGTATACTGTGTTCAGAATTTAGCACTACCTCAACGTTTCCTAATTATTTTAGACAATCAGTGACAGTTTTATCGAGTTTCAGATATTCTATTCGCATTGGAAGGCATTGAAATACTACATTTCGTGGGAATTGTTTGGCCTTATCAAACGGTTGTAAACAGTTATCAAACAGTTCTTATCAAACCTTATCAAACAATCGTAAACTTGCTTTTGAATATCTGTTGCAACCATTTACAACTCATGGCGGAATAATGCTCAATTATCTAATAGAGTAAATAACAAAACGTTTTCCGCCTTATGGCACTGTGAAAAGTGCTCTCGACCACCGTATTGTGTTGAAGGCTTAAGGTTAACTGGCAAGGTTAACTATTATTGAGTTAACTTATTTGTTTGCTATTTCCTGTTATGTTGATTGCATCTATTCAATAGTGCTTGCTCAAATATCTCTTTGTAGCTTTGTCATGTAATTACTTTGCTATTAATTTTGTTTGGTTTGCATTATGAATTTTGTGATATTTTGTATTATTTCCTTTGGTTGTTCAAAGTCGTCCTTGACAGCTCAAATTAAGACTGAATCACCTCGACTCTCCTGAAATCCACATGTTTCTCGTTCAACAAGCGATCGGTGCGTTAAACGTTTTTAAATAGCATGTAATACAATTTCATAACCTGAAATCTTCCAGTTATATCCTTTATTGTTTCAATGTTATTAGTCTTGAAAGTAACATGCAGCAGTATTTAATGAAAATGACGGTATTCGAACTTGATGTTCAATGTCTTCGTTTTCTTCTAGTTATGTAAACGTAACTTAAGTTACAATTAATCCTATTCTCTGCCTTTGTAGTGGTTCAATTTGAGATTGATCATTGACTTTTACCGACTGTATACGTTTGTTAACGATTAAAGTATCAATTAAACGATTATATATTTAAATCGTAGTCTGCGTATTAAATTATAAACGTATTTTTTGACTTAGTTTTCATTAATCTGTGCGTTAAAAAATTGTCAAATTATATGCTTGGTAATGAACCGAAACAGTCAGTCATATTTTAGCCCTGCAGTAAGTCCTCCTCAGTTTTTCAATGGCCTTTTCAAGGACCAGTGCTATCAAACGAAATGGTGTTACAAAGTTGGTTTTCAAGTTTACTCGCATGACGAAAAGAGAGAGGGAACTGCAAGCTGTAATTCTACTGTTCTCCTTCAAATAACATACTTGAATAAGTTATCCTTCAAATAACATACTTGAATAAGTTATCCTTCAAAAAATGTATCATAAAGGTTGTTGCTATTTTTGAAAGCCCATATTTGAAACAATTTGTCTGAGAGATTTAGTGTAATTCAAGTAAGCAGCACAACAGATGAGAAGGAACATTCTATGCAAGTATCAAAGCTTAAGAAATTGATGTTAGTGAATAAAGTTTATTTAAATCCCTCTGACACTTTGAGACCCAGCGTCACTCACTGCTTGTGTTCTCGGAATGAAATAACGTTGCGTTTCTGCTTCTGAGTCAGTGTTTATTTTGTCCTGAGCACGACATAGCTCTGCCGCTCTCCTGGTCGTGTTTCCTTTGGGTTTGGCTTTTCAGATGTAACGAAATATACGCACTGAACACATAGACAATTAAGAAATGTCAGAATTAACAAGTTAATATATTTGTTTTTAAATCGTGTTCTCTCAAGGGAAACAACATCAAATGGTTAGATAGTAAATCTGAGAAAAGGTGGTCCCTTGTCAGAATTCCTTAGACTAAACAAAGAATGTTTAGATCTTATGTCAATTGCACATCTTGTGAAAGAATCAAGAAGAATGAGGGACGTTAAATTATAAGTCACCAATGGAATCTTCCTAATACTTAGGCTGACATTTTTACGGTTTCATCGAAAGTGAGATCTACGCCAAGGGACGTCTCGCTTTACTTCCTGTGGGCATGCGCTGAGCGGAGGGGCAGTGGCCGCAATCCGCCGAGGGAGCGGGAACACAAGCGGCGCGCGCTTAACCTTTCTGCCGGAGCGACGCTGGCGGCGGCGACGGCACGCGGAATGCGCGGCGCTATCTTTAGCCACTTCCGGCGCCACGCCCCGCATCTGCCGCGGTCAGCGCGAACCAAACCCTCATGCCATTCGCTCCGCCCCGCTCCGCTCCGCCCCGCTCCGCCCCGCTCCGCCACGCTCCGCCACGCTCCGCCCCGCCCCGCTCCGCCCCGCTCCGTCCCACTCCTCCCCGCTTCGTCCCACTCCTCCCCGCTCCTCCCCATCCGTCCCACTCCGCCCCATCACGCTCCGCCCCGCCACGCTCCGCCTCGCTACCGTGCACCCCGCCACAACTTCGTCACGACCATGCCGCGACCCGGCCAAACAAAGTCCATATCAGTCGCCACCTGCAGAGACACTCGTCTTCCGTCGACACGCGTAAAACCGTGACGCGACTCGCCGTGCCGCAATTTTGCCTCGCCAAGCAAGGCCACACTCCGCCACATCTCGCCACGCCACACTGGATCATATCTAGGCTACGCTGCGTTATGCACCTCACGCTACAACATATCCGACACACCACGTCACAACTGTCTAGGAGTGATTCGATTTCAACAACAAAACATTGATGTTTTAAATCATCGATGTACAAAGTTAAAACACGGATATTAATAATTCATCGACCCAAAACAATCGATGATTTTAAGCACGAATGTTTTAAAAATCGGTTTAGTATACTCTAACATTTATTCTGGCGCGGGGATTCATTTAATTTGGCAAAAGAGGATGTGTTTATTCATTTATAATTACCATCTGGCAAAACAAACTAAACATAATAACAATTAAAAAACAATTGAGAATGAAAGGCTGAGAGCTCAACGACACCCTAAGGGCGCCTTCCCACGCGGCCACAACAGCGCGCGCCCGTCAATCGGCAAGGCTCTTCGCCGACCCTCCGGCGACGACGGACACAGATCCGCAGCAGGTATATAAACAGCAGCCGCAGCCCTTACGGGCCTTCCCACGTCGCCACGGCTTTCGCGCGTCCTTCAAGCAGCAGAGCCCTTTCGACGCAGCCACCGCCGGAGCCACGGCCGCACCGCCACCAAGGGGGGTGAGTTCTGCAGGGGTAGGTTTCGCCGACCCCCCGACGACGACGAACAAAGCAGCAGCAGGTAAAACGCAGCGACCGGCGGCCGCTGTAGGAAGTGTACCATTTAAAGCTGTGCTCTGCTAGCGGTGGCGCATACGCCCTAATCCGCTTCGCTTAGCGAGAGTCTTGACAGAAGCGCGCTGCCGTGGCGGCGTGGGAAGGCGCCCTAAGGACGCCTTCCTACGTCACCACGGCGCCGCGTTTCCTTTAAGCAGCAGAGCCCTTCCGACGCCGCAACGGCCGCACCGCCACCCGTCGTGGAAGGGGGGGGTGAGTTCTGCAGGGGTAGGTTTCGCCTCCGGCGACGTCGAACAAAAGGACCGCAGCGACCGGTGGCACCGGGAACCTTCCGGCGGGCACCTTCCCACCGGGGCTCCCGAAGGCTCCCATTTAAAGCTGTGTAGTGCTAGCGGTGGCGCGTACCCCCTCCTCCGCTTCGCGCGGCGAGAGTCCGCCGTCGCTTGCCGCTGCAGCGCCCGCCCGCTGCACATGGGCAGGTCTGCATTCAAACCAACGCTCTGCTACGCGCCGCGCTGCTCGGAAGCGCACCGCCGTCGCGACGTGGGAAGGGGCCCTAAAGGGTCAGGGCTTCTTCAGTTTGTCTAGAACCAGGGAACAAAGCACTGAGCCTGCTGCACATGCATTGACAGCCTCTCCGCGTGCGAACTTTGAGGAGAGGTGTAGGACAAAGGAGACCTTCTGGGTCGTCTCTTGGGCAAGAGTTAGCTCGATAAAGGTACTTCAGACAGGGTTCGCTTCGTTCGTACGTGTGAACCGATAGTGGTCTACCAGTAATTATTTCATATTTTAATTATTACAAAATGTGATTTTGGTACTTTTGCATTCACAAAACTTCGATGTTAAAAAAACATCGGCTTTAATTGATCTAATTTTAAAACTTCAATATTTTAATACAAACATCGATGGAGGGTTTAATACAAACATCCCTACTGGGTAGTCTACCGACAGGTTCCTTTGCATCTTGGTACTCGCCATCTCATCTATTCCACCATGCCACCTTCTCCAAGTATTTCTACTCCCACTCGACGTCTCCCCGCTATTTCTTGGAGGATCCTCGTCATATCTTTCTCATTGTATTTTATTGCGTGAGGAACCCTTCTTTGAGTTGTTCTAACCGATAAGATGAAACCCAAGAGAAGAATAAGTCTATCTTTTCAGTCAGAGGAATAGCCGATGCATAGGCAACGTAGCTGAAAAAATACAGTTTTATGAACGTTTTTAAGAACGTTTGTCCCGTAGTTTGCTTAGTAGGCGAAATTAAGTTTTGCCCTGCTGCAGCTGAACTAGGTCGATTTCAAGATTTGATGAGGATGTAGTTTCATTGTTAACTCTTTTGTTTGCCCTTTTTGCTTTCTCATCCTTCAGTAGAAACTTTTTAAGAACAGAAAGTTCCACAATGCTGTGGGAAGAAACGGCGAATTTTCGGCACAAAACCTCTTATTGCTTGGCCCTGGTTATGAAAAGGTGGATAAATTCAGTAACTAAATTTAGGTGGGAAATCCTCTAACACATGATGTAATC